TCCTGATTAAGTGACATTTATCAGGAATGAAAGGTTGACTCAACATACAAAAATCAATCTAATGCAACATATTGGTAGAATAAAGGTGGGGTAACTCCACAAGATTGTGTCAATAGACAAAGTATTTGATAAAATTCAACACCCTTTCGTGATAAAAACACTCAAACTGGGAATAGAAGTGAACTTTCTCAATCTAATAAAAGGGTATCTATAAAAAATGCACAGCTAACATAATGAGTGGTGAAAGACTGTATGCTTTCTCCAAGGATGTCCACTCTTACCACTTCTATTCAATATTGTACTGGAAATTCAAGCCAGGGCAATTAGGCAAGAAAGAGAAACAAAAAGCATCCGTATTAAAAATAAAAAAGCAAAGCTATCTGTCTGCAGTTGACATGATCTTAGCCCTAAGCAATCCATAAAACAACAGAATACAATTATTAGAGTTCACAAGTGAGTTCAACTGATGGCAAAATAGAAAATCAATGAGTAATAAATATTTGTATTTTATAAACCCTCAATAAACTGCCTGAAAATGAAATTGAGAAAAAATTCCACTTAGCATAGCATCAAAATGAATAAAATGCTTAAGGGTAAAATTAATTGAAGAAGTACAAGACTTGTACTGAAATCTAAACTATTAATGAAGTCAAAGATCTATATAAATATGAAACACATCCTGTGTTCATGAATTGAATGACCTACATATTTTTAAGGTGAAATACTCCCCCAGTTGATCTAAAGATTAACTCAAATCTCCAAAATTCCACTTTCTTTTTTGCAGAAATTGTTGGTTCTAAAATTCGTATGAAAATGCAAGGGACCCAAAACAGCCAAAAGAATCTTGGAGAAACAGAGTTGGAAGGCTCAAATTTCCCAATTTCAAAACTTACTATGAAACTTGAGTCATAACTCAGGCAGCAAAAAAAAATCCTGTCATTTGCAGCAACACGCGTGGACCTAGAGAGTGTCATACTGAGTGAGTAAGTCAGACAGAGGCAGGAACGTCTCATGACATCCCTTATGTGCAGGGTCTAAAGGAAGTGATACAAGTGAGCTTATTTACAAAACAGACTCAGAGAGAACAAACTTAGGGTTGCAGGGGGAAGGATGAGAGGAAGGGGTAAGTAGGGAGTTTGGGATGGACAGGTACACACTGCTATTAAAATGGATAACCAACAAGGACCCACTGTATAGCACGTGGAACTCTGCTCAATGTTATGTGGCAGCCTGGATGAGAGGGGAGTTTGAGGGAGAATGGATACCTGTATATGTATGGCTGAGACCCTTTGCTGTCCGCCTGAAATTATCACAACATTGTTAGCTGGCTATACTCCAGTACAAAATAAAAAGTTTGGGGACTTGCCTGGCGGTCCAGTGCTTAAGACTATGCCTCCAATATAGTGTGGGTTTGATCCTGATCAGGGAACTAAGACCCCACATACTGTGGGGTACAGCCAAAAAGTTTAAAAAATTTTTTAATAAAAATTAATTTTTGTAAAAAACTTGAATAATCAAGGCGATTTGGTACTAGTAAATGAATAAACATATAGGTTAATGAAATAGACTTGAGAGTCCAGAAGTAAACAAGGTTTTGAACAAGGGTACGAAGACCATTCAATCAAGACGGAATAGTGTTTTCAGCTAATGACACTTGGACACCACTGGTTATCCACATGTAAATGGGTCATCCTGGCCTCCCACTTCACTCAGCTGGAGCAGAGACTTAAATGCAAGAGCTAAAACTATAGAACTCTTAGGGAAAAAACATAGCTATCTGTGTCTGTACCCTTGGTTTTTTAGATATGACATCAAAAGCTCAAGCAGTCATATAAAAAGTAGATAAATGTGCCTTCATCGAAACTGACAACTTTTGTATGTCTAAGTACATTGTCACGAAAGTGAAAAGAAACCCCACAGAATAGGAAAAAATAGTTGCAAATCTTATATCTGAAAAGAACTCTTATGACTCGGTAATAAAAAATTTAAACACAGGCAAATGGGCTTCCGAGGTGGCTCAGATGGTAAAGAATCTGCCTGCAATGCAGGAGCCCTGGGTCGAGAAGATCCCCTCGAGAAGGGAGTGGCTACCCGCTCCAGTGTTCTTACCTGGAAAATTCTATGGACAGAAGAGCCTGGTGGGCTACAGTCCACGGGGTCACAAAGAGTTGGACACAACTGAGCAACTAACACACAAAAGATTTGAATACATTTTTCCAAGGAAAATATACAAATGGCCAAAGAGCATATGAAAAGAAACTCAGCATCATTGGTCATTAGGGAAATGCAAATCACAACACAAGGAGATATACATTAGGATGGCTGTTATCAAAGGAAGGCAAAATAATTATTGGTGAGGTTGTGGAAAAGTTGGAACTCTTAGATTGCTAGTGGGATTGTTAAAATGATTCAGCCACTTTGGAAAACAAGTTGTCTGTTCCCCAAAATGTACATACAGTTACCATTTGAGCCAGCAATGCCACTCCCAGGTATATATACCCAAAAGAATTGAAAACATGTTCACACAAAAATTGTTACTGAAAACTCCTAGAGGAGAACATAGGCAAAACACTCTCCGACATAAATCACAGCAGGATCCTCTATGACCCACATCCCAGAATTTTAGAAATAAAAGCAAAAATAAACAAATGGGACCTAATGAAACTTAAAAGCTTTTGCACAACAAAGGAAACTATAAGCAAGGTGAAAAGACAGCCCTCAGATTGGGAGAAAATAATAGCAAACGAAGCAACAGACAAACGATTAATCTCAAAAATATACAAGCAACTCCTCCAGCTCAACTCCAGAAAAATAAATGACCCAATCAAAAAATGGGCCAAAGAACTGAACAGACATTTCTCCAAGGAAGACATACAGATGGCTAACAAACACATGAAAAGATGCTCAACATCACTCATTATCAGAGAAATGCAAATCAAAACCACAATGAGGTACCATTACACACCAGTCAGGATGGCTGCTATCCAAAAGTCTACAAGCAATAAGTGCTGGAGAGGGTGTGGAGAAAAGGGAACCCTCTTACATTGTTGGTGGGAATGCAAATTAGTACAGCCACTATGGAAAACAGTGTGGAGATTTCTTAAAAAGCTGGAAATAGAACTGCCATATGACCCAGCAATCCCACTTCTGGGCATACACACCAAGGAAACCAGATCTGAAAGAGACACGTGCACCCCAATGTTCATCGCAGCACTGTTTATAATAGCCAGGACATGGAAGCAACCTAGATGCCCATCAGCAGACGAATGGATGAGGAAGCTGTGGTACATATACACCATGGAATATTACTCAGCCATTAAAAAGAATTCATTTGAATCAGTTCTAATGAGATGGATGAAACTGGAGCCCATTATACAGAGCAAAGTAAGCCAGAAAGATAAAGACCATTACAGTATACTAACACATATATATGGAATTTAGAAAGATGGTAACGATAACCCTATATGCAAAACAGAAAAAGAGACTCCGATGTATAGAACAGACTTGTGGACTCTGGGAGAAGGCGAGGGTGGGATGTTTCAAGAGAACAGCATCGAAACACGTATATTATCTAGGGTGAAACAGATCACCAGCCCAGGTTGGGTGCATGAGACAAGTGCTCGGGCCTGGTGCACTGGGAAGACCCAGAGGGATTGGGTGGAGAGGGAGGTGGGAGGGGGGATCGGGATGGGGAATACATGTAAATCCATGGCTAATTCATTTCAATGTATGACAAAAACCACTGCAATGATGTAAAGTAATTAGCCTCCAACTAATAAAAATGAATGGAAAAAAAAAATTGTTACTGATATTAGTCATAACAGCCCAAATGTCCATCAACTGATGAGCCACTAAACAAAATGTGGGATATCTATACAATTATTTGATAATGAAAAGGGATGAAGTTCTGATACATGCCAAACCTTGAAAACATTGTGCCAACTGAAAAGAAGCCAGACATAATTTTATTTCTGTCAAATGTCCAGCATAGGCAAATCCATAGAAACAGAAAGTAGATAGTGGTCTCCAGAGACTAGAGGGAGTAGGACTGTGGAGTGACTCGTAATAGAGAAAGGATTTCCTTCCGGGTGATGAGAGCTCTGAAGATAGGTAGAGGTGGTGGTTGTACAACCTTGTAAATGTACTAAAAATCACTGAATTAGATGCTTTAATATGGTGAGTTCTGTGGTATATAAATCTTATTTCAATAAATAAGTGCTCTCATTATGACTGATGTTTTTACCCATTTGATCATGGCATTGTTATGTACTGTGTGGATTAACTTGAATAACATAATATGGATACAGATACATTTAATAGCAAGATATATAATTAAATATAAAGTAAATATTTCCTCCCTCAGGGCTACTACTGTATGACCATTAAAATGTTATTGTCAGGTTTATTATGGTCTAATATGTATACGGGCTTCCCTGGTGGCTCAGTGGTAAACAATCCACCTGCAGGAGACATGGGTTCAATCCCTAAATCTGGAAGATCCCTTGGAAAAGGAAATAGCCACCCACTACAGTATTCTTGCCTAGGATTGCCTGGGAAATCCCATGGACAGAGGAGCCTGGTGGGCTACCGTCCATGGGGTTGTGAGGGAGTTGGACATGACTTAGCAACTAAACAACAACAAATATGTGTACACTAAAGTGCTTATCATTAAACTTACTTTGTCCTCTTCTGGTGTTGTAAATTATTTGAGAAACATCTCAGTTAAACATTTTGTTTTTAAAGAGCAAGTACAATAATAATAGTGGACATTTAGGAAAGAGATACTGTTCAAGTTGACTTTGTGTTTATGGCTTATATAACTGCAACTATCTAAAATTTCTTTGGCTAGTTGAGCAGGTTTGTGAAATACATTGTCACTTATTGAGCTCCCCCCCCCCAAAAATTATATATATAATATATATATTATAATTAATATTTATTATTAATTATTTATGATAAATAATAAAATATATATATATAATAATATATTTTTTTTCCAGGTCAAGCAAATCAAGTGGCCAAAGAAGCTGCTAACAGATGGACTGGTATGTATTACAATGGTAATATATAGCAGTGTATTACTACCAGTAAACTAGTCAAATTCTTCTACACTTTCTAGGATGTGAAATGCAGAAGCTACTGTGCCTAGTTTTGTTTAAGAAAAGACATTTCTGGAAATTTATGTATTAAGCAAGTTTTTATATCTTAAATCATTTTTTAAGTCTTATTATGAGTTATTTTGTAAAGTATGAGGCATTTTTGTAAAATAAGTGATTGCTTTCTGTTCAAGTTTTATATAACTTTTACCCAAAAAATCACTCAGACTAATCACTTAACCTTCATATATATTAATGCAAGATACAACTTTTAAGAGTTTTGTGGAATGTGAAAGTTTTGTCTTCTTGTCCATAATATTAATTTGTTGAGAACTGACTATGAGCTAGGAATTGTAAAGCCTGTCGATGATGCATTCTCATTTTATCTCCACAGCAATCTTGTGAGGTAGGTAGGATTATTATCCCTAAGTTTAGAGGTGAAACTGAGGCCACTGGGAACCCACAGTCACACAGTGCTGAGCATGGGAGCAAGAACTAGATTTCAGGGTCCAGGCTCTCGCCCACTACACACGACAGTCTTCTCTGTGCACCTGCTTCCATGTAAATGCCTCATTGACCCATTTGCCAATGGGTACACCCTCGGGTGTGTGCCAGGGATAGTCTCAGAGGTGGTAATTTATGTGTCTTAAAGTTTAGAAGAAAATTAATAAATAGTGATTGTTGTGAATTATGTACAAGTATGATTACTATTTTTAAGACCTATCTGGAAGTTACACTGATGCTTCTCCAGTATTGAATTATAAAATAATGGTAATTGGACTTTTCCATCTTGGTAAGAGTCTTTAATGCCTTTGTGTGTGTTACTCATCCTGGTTCTGTTTCTCTGGGAGCGTATGGATAAGATCACATTGGCGCCGAGATGCAGAAAGCTTGAAGTAGCTGCCTTACTAAAGTCCAAGGTGATTACTCACTGGAAGAAGAGGGACTTGAGCCAGATTTCCCTGATTCCATATTCAGGCTTCTGTGTTTCACAGAAAGCTTAAGAATCATTTTTCCTTGTCTGTTTTAGAATTAAAATCAATATAACTGGCCTTTGGCTCCTATAGAATTGCAGTCTTACTTATTACAAAGTTATTTCCTAAATGGTATGATGCTTTAGTGATAAGAGCAGAGAGGGTAAAAGCAGCAAATTCACATTAAATAAAATGGACCAGTGAAATGTGTGCCCAATAAAGTATAAACAAACAGTAAATACAGTGATACTGTGTAGGTTTGAGAAATACAAAATTTTGAGTGGAAAAAGCAAATGGATTTTTTTCCCACTTATTTTTATTAGTTGGAGGCTAATTACTTTACAATATTGTAGTGGTTTTTGTCATACATTGACATGAATCAGCCATGGATTTCCATGTATTCCCCATCCCGATCCCCCCTCCCACCTCCCTCTCTACCCGATTCCTCTGGGTCTTCCCAGTGCACCAGGCCCGAGCACTTGTCTCATGCATCCAACCTGGGCTGGTGATCTGTTTCACCCTAGATAATATACATGTTTTGATGCTATTCTCTCAAAACATCCCACCCTCACCTTCTCCCACAGAGTCTAAAAGTCTGTTCTGTACATCTGTGTCTCTTTTTCTGTCTTGCATATCGGGTTATCATTACCATCTTTCTAAATTCCATATATATGCGTTAGTATACTGTATTGGTCTTTTTCTTTCTGGCTTACTTCACTCTGTATAATGGGCTCCAGTTTCATCCATCTCATTAGAACTGATTCAAATGGATTCTTTTTAACAGCTGAGTAATATTCCATGGTGTATATGTACCATAGCTTCCTTATCCATTCGTCTGCTGATGGGCATCTAGGTTGCTTCCATGTCCTGGCTATTATCAACAGTGCTGCGATGAACACTGGGGTGCACGTGTCTCTTTCAGATCTGGTTTCCTCGGTGTGTATGCCCAGAAGTGGGATTGCTGGGTCATATGGCAGTTCTAATTCCAGTTTTTTAAGAAATCTCCACACTGTTCTCCATAGCGGCTATACTAGTTTGCATTCCCACCAACAGTGTAAGAGGGTTCCCTTTTCTTCATACCTTCTCCAGCACTTATTGCTTGTAGACTTTTGAATAGCAGCCATCCTGACTGGCATGTAATGGTACCTCATTGTGGTTTTGATTTGCATTTCTCTGATAATGAGTGATGTTGAGCATCTTTTCATGTGTTTGTTAGCCATCTGTATGTCTTCTTTGGAGAAATGTCTGTGTAGTTCTTTGGCCCATTTTTTGATTGGGTCATTTGTTTTTCTGGAATGGAGTTGCTTGTATATTTTTGAGATTAATCGTTTGTCTGTTGCTTCGTTTGCTATTATTTTCTCCCAATCTGAGGGCTGTCTTTTCACCTTGCTTATAGTTTCCTTTGTTGTGCAAAAGCTTTTAAGTTTCATTGGGTCCCATTTGTTTATTTTTGCTTTTATTTCCAATATTATGGGAGGTGGGTCATAGAGGACCCTGCTCTGATTTTTTTTTTTCATTTATTTTTACCTGCTGTGATTTATGTCGGAGAGTGTTTTGTCTATGTTCTCCTCTAGGAGTCTTATAGTTTTTGGTCTTACATTTAGATCTTTAATCCATTTTGAGTTTATTTTTGTGTATGGTGTTAGAAAGTGTTCTAGTTTCATTCTTTTACAAGTGGTTGACCAGGTTTCCCAGCACCACTTGTTAAAAGAGGTTGTCTTTTTTCCATTGTATATCCTTGCCTCCTTTGTTGAAGATAAGGTGTCTGTAGGTACATAGATTTATCTCTGGGCTTTCTATTCTGTTCCACTGATCTATATTTCTGTCTTGGTACCAGTACCACACTGCCTTGATGACTGTGGCTTTGTAGTATAGGCTGAAGTCAGGCAGGCTGATTCCTCCAGTTCCATTCTTCTTTCTCAAGATTGCTTTGGCTATTCGAGGTTTTTTGTATTTCCATACAAATTGTGAAATTAACAAATGGATTTTTTACGTTAAAAATAAATCAGGAGTTACAAAGTGATTTCCCGCAGTTAACAAACAGTAGGAACAGGAGTCCCGTGTATACGGTGCGAGAGGAACTTGACTTTGAAAGGAATCCAGTTGTGCTCGTTACTTGCTGTGTGGCTCATTGAGCCTCTCTGAGCTTGCTTCTTCATCTCTTCAGTGTGGATAGTGTTTGCCTCACATTTCGGGAGGGTTAGATGAAACAGTTTGTGAGCCCTTTAGCACACCATTGGACACGTTGATAAACACTCCCGTTTGCCCTTTCTTTTAAAAAACCCTTTTATATTTTCCAATTGATCGTAAACTTAAAAAATTATAATTAAAAAAATGTGAACAGCTTCTTTTTCCGTTTTGTTACTAGCTGAGAAGGAACCTAAAACTTTTTAAATCATGTAGGAAGGATGATATTTTTAGAAGAGCAGAAACAGCTGTTAAAAACCATATTTCCCATTTGAGTTTATGACTTGCTCCTTCCAACATGAAAGTGTTATGAAAAAATTATGGAGTTACATTACACCTCAGAAAACCTTCCTGTTTTCAAAACAAAAAGAAAACATCAGTACTATTTGTAACTAAAGATTGTTATGTAATTATTTTTGGTTTCTTTATATGAAAAAGATTCCTAAAATGTATTTAAAGTTGAGCACATTTACTTTTCAGTAATTCAGTATTTCAGTTTTGTAGAATGGGAAATCAGGGTGTAAGTAGTGTTTTGTGACACTCAGTAACTTTAAATGTGATTTATGAAATTATATAAAACCTTGCCTAGTAACAAAGATACTGGAGTTTTTATGACTCTGTATGAGAGACTTCTTGGTGAGTGAGGGGAACAGGTGTTGTGATTGAGGTCCTAGTGTAGACTCATGCACGTGATACTGCCCCTCTAGTTCTGTGTTTATCCTGGGTTTGCCATCATATAAACTAGCACGAATTGTACCCCTCTTAAAACTGTTTCTTTTAAAAAAAGTAATAAAGTGTTTCAAAAGTTAACAAGTGGGACCTGATTAAACTTAAAAGCTTTTGCACCACAAAGGAAACTATAAGCAAGGTGAAAAGACAACCCTCGGAATGGGAGAAAATAATAGCAAATGAAACAACTGACAAAGGATAATTTCCAAAATATGAAGCAGCTTATACAACTCAATACCAAGAAAACAAACAACCCAATCAAAAAATGGAAAAAAGACCTAAACAGACATTTCTCCAAAGAAGACATACAGATGGCTAACAAACACATGAAAACATGCTCAGCGTCACTCATTATTAGAGAAATGCAAATCAAAACCACAGTGAGATATCACCTCACACAGGTCAAAATGGCCATCAAAAAGTCTACAAACAATAAATGCTGGAGATGGTGTGGAGAAAAGGGAACCCTGTTACACTGTTGGTGGGAATGCAAATTGATACAACCACTATGGAAGACAATATGGAGATTCCTTAAAAAACTAGGGATAAAACCACCATATGACCCAGCAGTCCCACTCCTAGGCATATACCCTGAGGAAACCTGAATTGAAAAAAGACACATGTATCCCACTGTTCACTGCAGCACTATTTACAATAGCTAAAACCTGGAAGCAACCAAGATGTCCATCGACAGATGAATGCATAAAGAGGTCGTGGTACATATATACAATGGAATATGACTCAGCTATAAAAAGGAATGCATTTTAGTCAGGTCTGATGATGTGGGTGAAACCTAGAACCTATCATACAGAGTGAAGTGAGTCAGAAAGAGAAAGAGAAATATCGTATTCTAACACATATATACGGAATCTAGAAAAATGGTTCTGAAGAATTTATTTACAGGGTAGCAGTGGAGAAACAGACATAGAGAACAGACTTATGGACATGGGGAGGGGAAAGGAGAGGGTGAGATATATGGAGAGAGTAACATGGAGACTTACTTTACCATATGTAAAATAGATAGCCATCGGGAATTTGCTGTGTGTCTCAGGAAACTCGAACAGGGGCTCTGTATCAACCTAGAGGGGTGGGATGTGGAGGGGGATGGGAGGGAGGTTCAAAAGGGAGAGGACACATGTACACCTATGGCTGATTCATGTTGAGGTTTGACAGAAAGCAACAAAATTCTGTAAAGCAATTATCATTCAATAAAAAAGAAAAAGTTTTTAATCCATTTATAAACATTTCCACAAAACAGAAAAACTGAGAGGTGTAAACTATCAAGATTGCGGGTAACATTGTCTTAAAGGCAGACATCCAGTGGCCCAAAGACATATTTAATCAATCATTTTGAACTGATTCATTAAGAATTGTGTAGAGAGGCTTTTTATTTGTTTGTTTATTCTTAATCTTTGAAGGTTTATAAAATGATTTCTTGCCCTCACGGGAACCAGTATTCCTTCCTGCAAAGGCTGCAGCCTTACTGTAGTACCTCATTTTCTTCTCTCCTGATCCTGGCTTGAAGTCCATGCCTCCGAGGTTCCTGCAGAGTTGCAGCTGTCCTCTTATTTTCTGCAAACCTTTCTGTATTCTTAGAGTCTCTTAGAGTCTGGAAGCAGTACACATAACACTTGATCTTTTATCTCTAACATACATATCACTATGGAATTGTTTAGCGTGAAGTTAATTTTTCTGTTTCTTGTGTCAGTTTGAAGGCACAGGCTCTTTATTTTTGCAAGACCTGTGATATACTTAATAACTGTCTTAGGTAGCAGTATTTGTTTGTGACGCTCAAGAATGCATAGGTTATGCAGACATTAACCAAATTAAGCAGACCATTCTAGAGTACCTCATGCTATTAGTTCTCTCACTTAGGTTCTTATGAAAAGTAGAGATTTGGTTTAGATTGTTACATAAAGATTTATTTTAATATCTGTTGATACGCTATAGCAATTAAATGAGAATATTTTATTAACATTCTATTTGATATAGTAGTAGTCACCTCAGCAGTTAAGTTTATTCAAAGCATTTAATTATCATTGCTTGATACTTGGAATTCAACTTCCTAAAACAATATTCTTAAAAGTGATCAAACTCCATATAACTTCCTAATGATACCATACAGTATAACAGTATGCTTCAGACCAGGTGACTTAAATTGATTTTCTCAGAGTTCCGGAGGCTGAAAGTCCAAACCCCAGGTGTCGGCAGGTGTGGCTCCCTCTGAGGCCCCCCTGGCGTGCAGGTGGCCACCCTCTCTGTCCTTGCAGAGTCTTTGCAGTGCCCGCCCCGGGGTCTGTGTGTCCACCTCCCCTTTTCTTGCAACACTACCAGGTCAGTTGGGTTAGGGTGCACCCCAGTGGGCACATTTTAATTTCAGTCACGTCTTTAAGGACCCAGTTTCCAAATACAGTCACATTCTGAGGTAGTGGGATTTAGGACTAAAACATATAAATTTGGGGGAGGTGCTAATTCAGCCAGTAACACTCCAAAAGAACCTATTTTAATCCTTCATTTCATTATCACAACTAACACAGTGCTGAACATTTTATAGAGCACTATGAACCAGAAAATTGTATACCATGGTTTTTCTATATTTATAGCCTTAGTACATATTCATTGTAAAGATGGTATATGTACATTAAACAGAGGATTTAAGATTAAAGCAAGAAAACTCACTGTGATTCCTGTTCTCTAAGCGCTGCCACAGTGAGCACACTGGTACTGCCCTGCACAGACACTTTCTGGGTGATTAGACATTTAGATTACTTGTATTTTTTTCTTTTGTTACACTGGGATGAAGATTCTATCATAAATCTTTGTATACTGTTTTATTTCCTGCGGGTCCCTAATTTAGATAGATGTAACACTTTTTTTGGTGGTAAGATACACTTAAGTTCCCTAGAAGACGTTAAGGCTGTATCTGCTCCTTTTAGCCTTCAAGGGCCCCTTCCCCCCTCTTCACCCCTCCTCCCTAGCCTGGCTGTCTAGAAGCCACGTCTGTGCTGGGGGAGGGGAGGAGAGGGGTGCCCTTTGGGACAGGAGCAGCTCTAATTCCTGGGGTAACAGAGCCCTGCCTCTGCTCTGGAGATGTTAAAGAGGCACCATCCGCCTCTCCCTGTCTTTGGATTATTCCTTAAGTCAGGTATTCTTTAGTGGCGACTGATTTACTGAATTTTTTGAATATGAAATCTGTTTATTCAAAATAATCACTAATATTTTCTTTATTCTGAAAGTTAATTGTTGTTACTCTTGAAAATAGGTTTCCCTGGTAGCATAGTGGAAATAAGAATAGTGGAAATAATAGTGGAAAGAATAGTGGAAGAATAGTGGAAATAAGAATCCACCTGCAATGCAGGAGATGCGGGTTTGATCGCTGGGTCGGGTAGATCCCCTGGAGAAGGAAATGGCAACCCACACCAGTATTCTTTCCCAGGAGACCCCATGGACAGAGGAGCCTGGCGGGCTGCAGTCCATGAGGCTGCCAGAGAGTTGGACATGACTTAGTGACTAAACAACAGCTCTTGAAAATACAGAAAATTCCTTATTTTGATACTTCTAAAATAATAGAAGTTTTTTTTTTTTTTAAATGAGTATAATTATATTTGAAATTTTGTGATTGTGTTTTCAATTCTCAAAAATGTTTCTCAATTTTCTTTATAGATAACATATTTGCCATAAAATCTTGGGCCAAAAGAAAATTTGGGTTTGAAGAAAATAAAATTGATAAAAATTTTGGAATTCCAGAAGACTTTGACTACATAGACTAAAACGTTTGATGCTGTTGATGGGGAAGGAGCTATGTGCTTGTGAATATGTAAATTTTTATGTTATCCAGCTAAATGTACTGAATTGTCATTTACCTGTAACTCTTTATTGTTTTATTATTAAATAAAGTATGGAGTGTAGATGTTTTCACTCTTTGATTAGTCAAAAGCAGGATGTAGCCACGTTCCCTCAGTGCTCATCAGAGTTAGTAAAATCTGTTAAGCCTACCAATAATTTTTTTTAATAGATCAAAGCCATCATGACATGATAACATTTTTTAGTTTTATTCAAATATTAAGAACCAAGGGTACCTTTGAAGGCTGTATTATACATGCTTGAAAATAACTTTCAAAACTAATGGCTGCTTTACTGTTAATATTTCTCAGTATTTAGTGGAAAATGTGTCTGATTGAGTCTCAGTATACTGCATCATATTTGCAAATTTCCCACAGGAAAAAATACAGAAAGTTGGTGTTCCTTAAATTTAGAGTTAGGTAGTAATTCCTCAAACATGAAAGCTACTTTTTTTTTAATGTTTGATGCCTTTCTGCTGTAAAGAAGAAAAGCATGCCCTTTGTCCTAATTTATACGCTTACTTGTAAGATGATATAATGGTGTTAGTATAGCAGGCATACTCAGCTAGGGTTCAGGAATTTTTTTTTCCAACTACCTCCAAAAAAGAGTAGGTTAAAAATAATGTATGTGTTGTCTTGTGTATATATCTTTTTCCAGTTCAACTTTGGCGTTTAAGGTATTTGCAGGACAAACTTAAAGAAAAGAAAAATCAGGACTAATGTGTGTAATGCCCTTTCCACACATGCCTTAATTTTTCTCCACACAGTCTGATTTTTATATTCTTTTCAGTAACTTGAATGAGGTACTCCATATGTTTGAAGTGACCCAGATGGTATCCACACCATTTGTTAGTGAATCTGGTCTTTGAGTTGCTTGAGTTGCCAGGGGCCTACTTACTTAATCACTTCCTGGATGTGGGCGGGAGCTTACTGGTCCAACTTTGTTCTCAGGGCCAGTTTGTGTTGCCTTAGGGCGATAGCTTTTCTCACAGGAGAAAGTATTTGATGTGAGAGGCAAAGGGCAAAAAGTAAAAATAACCCATCATAAGCCTTTCCCTAATATGCTAATGGAAATTCCAAAATTTCTCAGACCTTGTTTGCTGTTTCTTAGAAAGATGCTTCTGGGAATTCCCTGGCAGTCCAGTGGTTGAGGCTTCCCAGGTGGCGCTAGTGGTAAAGAACCCACCTGCCAATTTAGAAGGCATAAGAAATACAGATTCCATCCCTGGGTCAGGAAGATGCCCTGGAGGCATGGCAACCCACTCCAGTTTTCTTGCCTGGAGAATCCCATGGACAGTGGAGCTTGGCAGTTACAGTCCACAGGGTCACAAAGAATCGCACATGACTGAAATGATTTCGCATCCATACATGCCAGTGGTTAAGCGACATGGCATGGCCAAAAAAACTTTTTTAATTAAAAAAATTCAAAGGTACCTTTCTCTTTAGAGAGGAGGTATATATTTTCAAAATAAAGCCATTTTTAATGGCTTAAAAGATTCTATTTCATAAATATTTAGGTAGCTTCAACATTTTTTTCTTTTACTATCTTTTGGGGCTAGCCTGAGAATCACTTCTCAGTATTTGCCTGAGATCAAGTGTAGTATGGAGGCTTCTCAGGTGGCACAGTGGTAAAGAATCTGCCTGCCAGTACAGGAGACCCAAGAGACGGAGGTTTGACCTCCGGGTTGGGAAGGGGAATAGAAAATGGCAACCCACTCCAGTATTCTTGCCTGAAAAATTCCATGGACAGAGGAGCCTGGTGGGCTACAGTCCATGGGGTTGCAAAGAGTTGGACACGACTGAGCGGCTGAGCTCACAGCATGAGAATGATCGCGATGGACTCTCTTCATGAGCTCCCCAGAGACTGGTACCCTCTGAAGCCAGCAATGTGCTAGTAGATGTTTAACTAAACTGAGTCTTTGGAAAGTGAGTATAGAATGTGCCTATTTGTATGATGTAAATACACCCAGCATAGAGAATTTCAGATTAGCACATGGTAACAGTGTCAGGTTGGAGAAAGATGCTTGGTATCATGTATTTCTACCATACAGATACAGTAGATGTAAATCCTCTAGAGCCTAGATAAGGGTAACATGTAAAGTAATTAGGGAGTAATGAGTTTTTAGTTTTAATACTATTGATTTCAATGCAGCTATAGTTCATTGAAAAGCAAGAGAGTTCCAGAAAAATATCTAATTCTGCTTTATTGACTGCCAAAGCCTTTGACTGTGTAGATCACAACTATGGAAAATTCTGAAAGAGATGGCAATACCAGACCACCTGACCTGCCTCTTGAGAAACCTGTATGCAGGTCAGGAAGCAACAGTTAGAACTGGACATGGAACAGCAGACTGGTTCCAAATCGGGAAAGGAGTACATCAAGGCTGTATACTGTCACCCTGCTTATTTAACTTCTATGCAGAGTACATCATGAGAAACGCTGGACTGGAGGAAGCACAAGCTGGAATCAAGATTGCTGGGAGAAATATCAATAACCTCAGGTATGCAGATGACACCACCCTTATGGCAGAAAGTGAAGAACTAAAGAGCCTCTTGATGAAAGTGAAAGAGGAGAGTGAAAAAGTTGGCTTAAAGCTCAACATTCAGAAAACTAAGATCATGGCATCTGGTCCCATCACCTCATGGGAAATAGATGGGGAAATAGTGAAAACAGTGTCGGACTTTATTTTTGGGGGGCTCCAAAATCTCTGCAGATGGTGATTGCAGCCATGAAATTAAAAGACACTTATTCCTTGGAAGGAAAGTTATGACCAACCTAGATAACATATTAAAAAGCAGAGACATTACTTTGCCAACAGAGGTCCGTCTAGTCAAGGCTGTGGTTTTTCCAGTGGTCATGAACTGTTGTGAGAGTTGGACTGTGAAGAAAGCTGAGCGCCGAAAAATTGATGCTTTTGAACTGTGGTGTTGGAGAAGACTCTTGAGAGTCCCTCAGGCTGCAAGAAGATCCAACCAGTCCATCCTAAAGGAGATCAGTCCTGGGTGTTCATTGGAAGGACTGATGTTGAAGCTGAAACTCCAATACTTTGGCCACCTGATGCGAAGAGTTGACTCATTGGAAAAGACCCTGATGCTGGGAGGGATTGGGGGCAGGAGGAGAAGGGGATGACAGAGGATGAGATGGCTGGATGGCATCACTGACTTGATGGACATGAATTTGAGTAAACTCCGGGAGTTGGTGATGGACAGGGAGGCCTGGCGTGCTCAATTCATGGGGTCACAAAGAGTCAGACATGACTGAGCGACTGAACTGATAATCCATCATAGTTTGTGTGATTTCATCTTAGAGATGGCTGTGTTAACAGCTGGCCCACTGTTACTTAATAGTTGGCTTGCCTACTGCAGCACATCACTGTTCTTAATCTTGAAGGGCTGGTTTTGAGTTTGCTCTTCCCTGAAATTAGAGATAACTGATAAAGAAGCCCAGGGGCACTGGTCCAGCAAAACTCTAGGTAATCCTTAGTCCTGGGTTGGTTTTGTAATTGACCTGAAGACTGAGGACAACTTCAGTAGACCTAGAGTCAAATTGCTAGTGATTCAGGATCAAATTTGATTCAGTACTGTATGATTGACACTCCCGATGTCATTTCAATGAATTGTGAAGTTTAAAAGGCATTTGAGAAAAAAAAAAAAAAAAGGCATTTGAGAGATGATTTCCATCTTTACAACCTTCACATGTACCTATCTTTTAAAGAACCCTAGGAGAAATTTTGCTGGAGAAGGAAATGGCAACCCACTCCAGTATTCTTGCCTGGAGAACCCCAGGGACCGGGGAGCCTGGTGGGCTGCCGTCTATGGGGTCGCACAGAGTCGGACATGACTGACGTGACTTAGCCACAGTAGCAGGAGAAATTTTACAGTCTCCTCATGAGTTTCAATTTTCAGGGCCAGGTCAGACCACTGAAATGTCACTTCTGAGGTTGGGCCAGGACCAAAGAAATCCGTTAAGGATGGATAGGGTACCCCTTTTACGCTAATGTTTGCCGCATCATTAGTCTAATAGGATTAGGAAATTCTTGGCCTGTCTCAGAAATTGATGCTATTATCCTAAACTTTACCAAACATGATTCTAAGGGATTAGAAAAGAAAATGAGTACAGCCAAGAAGCAAGAACCACCCTAATAAATCTTGATCAGAAAAATCTAAATCATAAACCCAGTAATACTGTTTTGGGGTTTGTTTGTTTTAGAACATGATTGGAGTAAAATAGAAAACATTTTCTTGCTGATATACATCACTGTAAGAGCAGTTACAATGGGACAGGTGGTGGGAGGGTGTCTCAAAATTATACATAAATCCCCTTTCAGGATGTGCTTCCTGAATACTGTCTGTATGCTAGGAGGAAAAATGTACTGCATTGTGAACTGTCCCACTGCAGTGAATTTATATTATACTTACTCCAGCTTGATTTGTAAAAAATGATTTGTAAGAGATAAGAGGTCAGGTGATGTGACTATCTTTGAATCTCAAGGCTAATGATATCTATTAACCAAGAATGGCAAGCTACCGTCCCAAGAGCCAACTTCAAGGCCTGATTTTTACAGCCCTGGAGCTAAGAATGCCTTTTTACACTTTTTAAATGATGTAAACATAGGAGTAAGCAACAGAGGCGGTATGTAGCCTACGAAACCTGAAATACTTACAGCTGAAACTTTACAGAAAAAGTTTGTCAACTTTCAAAAGATCAAAAGCTGACAGCCTGTGGTCTAGATAGATAGACATGCAAGGCATATTTTGTCTAACCTGTATTTTATTTTTTATTTAAATTAGTTGCCAGCACAGTCACATGTAAAAATGTCACGCGCATTTCTAGCTTCCTTTGGAAACTGAATGATTCAGCAGCCCACATGGCAGCGCATCTGCTAGAGGTGAGAGGACTCAGGGAGGGCGAGTGCAGCTTTCTCCCG